TTTCAAAGCCAAATGCGTTCCCCCCCCCCCCAGCGACAAAATGCGACCCTTGTGGGATTCACGCAACGATGAGGTACATCGGTGGGACGTTACAATCACGTTGCAGCGAAGCGTAACAAAGAAAAACGTCTCTTAGCTAGTTTTAATCACATGCTTAATCACTTGGACGTTGAATCAGTTAGGTTCCCACGCGAGCGTCACGCACATGACTCATTTGCGCCTTTTGCCGCTCTCGCCACAGAGCGGATGTAAGAGTGCGCTCATATTTTGCTTCAGTTTTGAGCGTCTGCCAGCTTTCAGCAACCATGAAAGTATATTATCGATTACCGCTGAAAATGCTGGCGGACACTCAGGTCGCTGGATCGATACTTATGCTTTCCTTGCTTAAAACGCTGACAGACGCTCGCTGCCGCAAAGTATGAACGCATTCTAAGGTCTCACACAGATCTTTAGTGTCGTCTGAAAAATTTCTTCTTTCTGATCACAAAATCATGCTAGTTTGATTTTTCACAGATTACATGCATTGATTACAGCTGCAGACAGTTAGCTCGAACCTTGCCTTTTCGGGGTCGCGGAGACGTCTATCCGAGCTATGCTCCAGTGGAAGTGCCCTCAAATCTCACTCTCCCATTCGACAGCCTGTTCTGGTAAAGTGTTCAAATCTTGTGAACCTGCTTTTAAATCGTGCGTTAATAAGAAGCTTCGGGAGAAGCAAGGTTACTCTTTATAGGAGTTCCATCGTCTCGACTTGAGTGAGGACGTCATTGAAGAGTGCAATCTTGAAGAGGACCGAGATGAAAGTCCTGTTCTCCTCCAGCAACAGGTATATCCAAAGATCTCATGAATGAGTCGGAGTGTTAGAAGTTGGCACCTCTAAACGTGTATGTACTTACTACAATGTGTTCACTGATAGTGGTGTTCGACTCTAAAAGTTTTTTCCCCTTTCTCTGTTAATTGCAGTGCCTAACGCAATGATATTTATAGTGCATTTTGATTTTCAGAATGATGTCGTCCTGTCTGAGGCAGATAACGAGGCTGCATTCTTTCAGAAAGTGAGTAGATGTTATTTTCTGGGCGTTTACAAGCTTCATGGGACGGCGCGACAGTGGCTGCTCATTTGTGCTCTCACAGTGGTCCCTTCTTTCCTTTAGGTCAGCGACCCCGGAAAATACAGATTGACCAGACTCGGATTGGCATCCCGTTTATCTCGCTTTGATGCGGTTCTGCTGCGATAAGTGACTTGGTATAGTTTTGCTGTAATAATGGAACGCACTAATGACAAGTGATGCCAAAGGAGAAAAAGAGCAGGGAATCTGCCAAGGACATGAATAAACAAAATTCACTCTCGCGGGCAGTCCACACCGCCTGCGATCCCTGTCAAATGCCTTTTTCGCCATCGCCGTGCCTAAATATCATCGCAATGAAAAGAAAAAGAAATGAAAACGCAAAAACGCTGGCGCAAAGCTAGTAACAAAAAGAAACTTTTGAAATTCTAGGAACTACGGTAGTGTGCATCTTTTAGTGCAGTCGAGCTTTTGCACCAAAAAATTGCATCACTGGTGATTTTGAGGCGTTTTACCTTGCGAAATGCGTTGCTATTGATCTGTATTTGCTCCTAATGAAGGGAAAAGTAATAAGTGTGAGCAGAATTACTTATGAGCACCGAGCGGTGTGGCAAACAATAAAATTGCCGCCGTTCCCAGCAAACAACAACTGAGCGCTCTGCGTTAGGTGTGGAAAAGTCCGTCGTTGTGGGCGGTCCAACTGAGCGGGTGTTGGAAATAAAACTTTCGGCGGCTGTAGCACCTCCTCAGTCGCTGTGGAGTCGCAGAAGTGGGACAGTCTCTTGGTTCGGGGCTAGACACAAGGAAGGGCCACCACGAATTACTCGAGCTTGGGGGCTGTCTTCAAACCGCGTTGCGCCATTTTCTCGATATTCATTTCCGATTGCTTTCAGCTGATTTCGGATGGATGCGCTAGTCTCTCGGATGTCGAAGAGGAAGATCCTGTTGAGCTCTGCGGTCCTGAAAACGAGCCCGATAATTATGATGACATAAAAACGGTCAGTAATGTGGTTATGCAATGTATATGTCGTGAAAGGTACTATCTAGACAGCTTTAGCTGTTAAATTGTTGCTGTTAAATCAGTGGTTTGAGTTATAACGAATTTCTTCAGAGCACAATTCACTTAAAAGAAGATTCTCAGCGCTTCCAATATGAAAGGCCAAGTGAAGAAGGTATAGAGGGCGTTCGAAAATACAGTCTGGAAGAAATGGAAAAATTGTTCAGTACTTTCAATGATGTGCTGATTTTATGATTGCCCTCATTTTTTGCATGTGGGTCAGGAGATTCGAGTTGCAGCATTGCGCCCAAACCAGCATACCTAGTTAGTTGACTCGACGCAGCACTTTGGTGTGAAATCAATTAGTTTATGGGAATCTGTGCACTACCATAATCTATTTCACGGCTTTATATCGAAAAATTTTCAATCGGCTGTTTTCATTCGTTTCAAGTATTGCACTATTTGGCGCTGATCATTGTCCATTTGTCTGAACCTGGTAAAGAAGAAAGCATCTTATCGACCAATGAATTCTTTGAGGCGATCTTGTTAAATGATCTGTACATAGTGTGGGTTATGGCCTTGTTGGTTAGACGGGACAATGCCCTTTGAGTCAACTAGCAAGTACTAGCTGATTTGTGCGCAATTCTGTGACTCGTATCTCCGGACCAACATCCTTAATTCCATTATTCTGATACGATTGGTCCATTCGTTTCCTTTTTCGGAATTTTTACCTGTCACATTGAATTCTGGCTTTCATGTGAAATTCTGCTCAGATACCGAGAAGCATAGTCTTTTACTGAGTATTTAGTCTAGAATGCATTGTATAACTGTGATTTGCCTGAAGTTGGGGATACCTTTTTCCATGAAAGCAAATTCTGGTTGAGTTTTACGGAGTATTCTTGTACTTATCGGATCTCCTTATTTGTACTTGTGAATAAGCTTTATATGAAGAGTTCACAATCGTTCATTTATTGTGATTTATACTGGTCGAATGTGTATTTGTTATTAAATGTCTTAATCGTGTAAGTTGTTGAGTTCAGTATTTACTAGAGAATAATCCACAACTGGCATGAATAATGAGACCTTTGAAGATTGTTCCCGCAATCAAGTAATCCGTGAATGCCTTCGTGCATTTGACGTTCGGGTCCACACTCGCAGAAAGTGTACCACTTCCGCCACTCGAATCGGCGAGAAAAAGAGGCAGATTTCAACCTCTTTTATTTTTGCCCTGCAAAATAACGGCTCACACGCGGAAATACGTGTGTGCATTGTTGCCTGGAGCGTTGTAGAATCCTAGCTAGTCAACTTTTTTGCGAGCTTACGAATTGTTCTGTTCAGGAGACATCATTGGTTGGGATTTTTAGTCGAGTACGTGCGACCCCCCTCCTCCGGCCCTCTGTCCCTCTTCATCGAGTCGAGCACCCCCTTCTCCTGGCGGCCAAATAAGACCCCCCTGGTCAGGGCACATCATTAGTTGGGGATTTGGGTGGAGTCCGTACGACCCCCCCTTTTTTGCGGGCTGGTACGACCCCCCTCCCCCACTTCCCCCCTCATCGAGCCCTAGGAAAATGCGACCCCTCCCACCCATCACTTCCCAACATCCAACTTTTACCAATTTTTTAGGAATTTTCCAAAAAAATTTTAGTAGTTTTTCTTGAAAATTTTGCTATCGAGCGGAGGGAGGTACATAGTACGGCAAATACGACCTCCCCTCCCTGTTGGGGATTCCGCTACAACGATGTGCCCTGTCCATAAATTTCCCATGGCGCGGGGTGGGGGATATAGTACACATGAAACAAGGAAAAATCATGAAAAATCAACAACCGGGAAAAATTTTTTCCCAACGCGGCAAATTCCTCTCAAAGCCACATACGACTCCCCCCCTCTCAAGAGCGACCAAATACACCCCCCCCAACCGAGAAGTACGACCCCTGTGTTTCACACAACGATGCTGTACCCTGTCAGGTCGGAACCTGAGCACTAGAGTAGCAACCATGCTACCTCTCCACTCTTTCACGTCTTTTCAACACCTTTTTGAGAGGGAAGATTGGTCCACTGTGGACGTGGAATTCAGATATATTGGTGAAAGACGCCTGCACCGAAACTCCGTATTAGGGAGAGGCTGTACTAAAGGCAAAGTCCGCGATCATTCGCCATCACAGATAGCGGATTAGGGGTTTCCATATAGAAGAGGGGTATGTAACAAGAGAATCGTGATTCACCGCGCTGGTTGGCGTCGCGTGCGACGTCGCGCCCGCGAAATGGCGATTGTTCCAAGGTAGTAGTGGCGACAACAGGCAATTCAGAACCGAAAATAGTCATGAATGTCTACGATGACGGGGTCTACATGAAGTCCGGTGCTCCAATCGACAGGTTAACACGAGTTAAGAAAACGCCGCGCCCATCGCCGCGCGGGCGGAGCGGCAAATTACGATTCTCTCGCCCGTCTCCCCAGAAAAGGTGCTGAGCAATTCGATACTGAAGAAAAAATCAGGAAAAACGTGCCAGCTGCTCTGGATAGGACCGCATTACGATCCGTATTTTTACTTGCCCAAATAACTCCATCTCCAACACTGCGCCTTCATCCGCACAGCTGATTCCCCGATAAGAACTCTACGACCGTACAAGTGACGATTTTCATGCTTTTTCGTCCTGCAGCTTTTTTCACTGAAAGGCGGGCCTTGAGGCGGAGTCTGGAGGCGGAATCACTTAGCGTCCCTCCCTTACAATTTTTTGCCGCGAAATCGGTACAAGGTTGTTCTTCGCGGACCACACTACCCTCCCAACGTCATATTTTTAGCTTTTTTACCTGAACGCGAACCGTGCCTTTCCACCGCCATTTCACATATCTCCATGAGGTATCCTACTATGAAACAGACCAACAGAACGAACACAAATCTCTACAAGATTTATAATCAGTTAGCAGTACAATTACAATGTCTTGTCCTAGACACGGCTGAATAGGACTTATATATTTCTACAAGTCACCAATGAGGTGTCCTCAATGACGTCTAGCGTGAATCGAACGTTAACAAAATAAAACCAGATTCGATCAAGGCAACATGCGAATCACCGATCAATATCAATCAATGCTACAGCGTAGAATTTGTAAACAAAACAATGACTGAACTATATTCTATGATATGTTATATATGTTTAACCATAATCGCGTTAAGTGCCACAAAGAATTTTGAGCACTTCAATTGTAGATTTACAGAAGCGGCCGTCTATATCGGATTTTGTTCACTGGCTTTTCAAAGACTCACAAAATTTTGGGACCATTGAAGGATCCCAAGGGAATAAAAAAATCCAATTAGCAGCCGCTCCTGTACACTTACGACCCGTGGATCCTTGGGTTGGAGGAACTAATGCTACACTCACAGTACGCCAGGCTGCGTTCAGACTTCACGATGACGTGCGTCATAGCGCTGTCAATGCAGCGTTCTTTCGGTAATAATAAACGGGAACGAGCCATACACGGGTATCGATCGGCGTCGCACGCTAATGCTTTGAGAGAGTATTGGAGAGTAGGAGAGACCAGATTGTGAACAGGAGATCAGTCTGATACTATACTATTCTGCTATACTCTCTCGAGGCACTGGTGGCTGGCGCTAATCGATACCTGTCTATGACTGCACCCCCGTCCATCCTCGTCTGACAGCTCACGAGAGTGCCGGCGTGCATCTTCGCGAAGTTTCAACGCAGGCTGAATAATTGGGGAGGGGGGGGTGACCACTACTTGCTGATGACTGACCGCTGTTCCAGCAACAGTTCGAAATTGGCCAGCATCCACTTCCACTTCTCTATCAATTTTTTGCGCTTGCAATTTCAACGTTCGAAAAATGGTCTCGCCATTTTGCAGGCTGGAACAGCGGTCAGTCTACGGCGATGGGCTGGGTATTACCGTAGTCTAAATCGAATCGACGACTTCTACTCGAGTAAATCCTGCTAACGAAGCGATCATAGGTAATCCATCGAATCAATCACAGTATTGTCATCACGGTGCTAGTACCATTCGCATCCGAGCTCACCACTACATTGTTCCCATCCACTGGCGACATCTAAAAGTTTGAGAGGTTATTCAATAACTCTGCTTGGCGCTCTTTATCCATTGCTGTTTCCTCCAAAGGGCAGTATCTTGTAAGTGGGTAGATCAGACCGAAAATTTGTCCCCTAAGTAGTCTGACTCGGTGACACGAATACCACGCCCTCTTTGGGTGAACATGCCTGCCGCCCGCGCCACAAGCACCGGCAAAAGTGATTTAGTTGAAAAGTCGAAGAAGTATATAAAAAATGTTGAGGGAGTCGGAAGCAAGAGATAACTTAGCATCCGTTTTGCATGTACCCTAGGACGAAAGCTGCGCACAAGGCCAGTTTTGATGCGCGCCCACAGCACACTTGCCGGGCTATTTCGTACCAAGCGTTATATGTATTCGTGTCAAGGGAGCCTAGCTACAGGAGATAAAGGTCTAGCTGATTCTATCACCGGGTGGTCAAGCAGGGCACGTCCTGTCATTGAGGAGACTGCAGTTTTTTTTGTCCCTCAGAATTCTCTCCCCTAACTCTGGTCAGACCTTCCCTTCCCCGCCCCATCCTACTTACCATCTTCATAAACTTTTCCGAAATAAGTCCGAAAATTCTCCATTTGCCCCAAGAAATTAAAAAAAATTTGCTGAGGGCCAGGGGGTGATATGTAGCACACTTCAAAAAGTAAAGGCGAGAAACGTCAGCAATCGAAAACATTCTTTCAGATGTAACTACGACCCCCTCACTTTAAGTCGCCAACATGACGTGCTCAGAATGAAAATCTGGCCTGAATTTTAAAGTGGTCCAGTGAAGGGTAAATAGCGCTTCTATTCAAAAAGTGATCGTTCAGAAACAGCTTGACATTGAACGAAATACTGAAACTAAGAAAGAGTTTTTGAGGACTTACTCCCGTTACAATCGGCGTGGCGATGGTATTTGACAGAGAAGTCGGTGACGTAAGATGTGCTTGTAAACTATCTGGTGCTGCACTTTGACTGTTGACGTCGTCAAGAATGAACTCCGATAACAACGAATCAACCTAATTGAGAACCAGTCATTTGATAATCAATATACATTTTAGAAAATTAAGATAGGATCTGTAATAGAATGCTCTTGAGTAAAAAAAATTCCAAGGCAAACCTCCGCCAGTCCAAAGAACTTCGTAAGCGTCATATTCTCTATCAGCAACTGCGTGAGTGCTTTCAAAGCTGGTGCCAACAGCAAGATGTTGCCGTATCTATAAAGACCATTTGTAGGGGTAGAACAGCGTTTCCTAAGAAAGGAGAAAGCTATGGAATTTGTGCCGGAGTCAGACCATGGACAGATGGGTGCGGGTCTAATGATTCACGTAGAAGCCAGCGGGACAAAATTAGCAAGTGTTCCCGGACTACTCCTTACATCCCAGAGTGGGACAGGGCGTGGCTGCGTACTTCATCTGAACGCCGCACAGGATGCCTTTTTTGTGGGATATTTTCTTTTCAAGCAGCTTTTAAGGCATCCTGGACTTAACGAAGACTTGAATTTAGTTGTCCTAAATGGAAAAGAAGAAAAGAAAGAAAGAAAAAGAAGCGCAATCAAAGCCACGTTTCGATAAAGTACGCAGCCGCACTCTATTCATCTTCGGGATATGGAGAGTAAGTATCGTAGCACTTCCATGTCAAGTCAATTAGGTCTTGGTGCAAACGTCGCGTACGTGATGCCACCTGCGAGTCCTTCTCGCCGCGGATCACGCGACCGACACCTCCATGAAGTACATTGGTAACGGATGCTCCAGACTGAGATGTTCTCTGGCGCCACAGACCCCCCCCCCCTCCCCATCAAGTGGGTAACGAATGGTCCAGAATGAGATTTTCTTTGAAAACTAAGCGATTATATTCACTCTGAGGGCGGATCAGTCCTTTGGATGAGATGATATAGGAATCAATTTCAATAAAAGACACTAATTTTGTACCTGGTTGGTGCTTCTTCACGGTTATTTTCCAATATGAACGCATAAAGTGATTTTAGCACTCGGTTGCGAGCCTCTCTTACTTGTGTTTGACTTGATGGCGTGAGTCCTTTCGCTTCAGGGTGCAGAAAAGCCAAGGCCTGCAAAACGAGTAGCAAAAGCTTTTGTGATTTTTTAGTTGAAAAGTTTTTTTGTTTTTTAGTTTCTTTGCTGTGAAAGCTAGAACGCTAACGTAGTTTGGTGAGAGAGAGAGGGGGGTCCACACCGCGTCTTTCGATCCCTTCCCCAAAAAAGCTTAGGATCAGAAAGCAGACGACCACAATCGTCAAAAAATAGTCTCCTGAGAAAACATCGTGACCAAGATGCGCAGCCTTCATCGAGGGAAGGGATACGAAGGCGCTGGCGAGTGCTCCCCCTCCCCTCCCCAGCTATGTTAGCGCCAAAAGCTATCCTAACATGAGCTCATTGTACGAACTTTTGTAATGTTGGAATGGCAGAGAGCAGGGCAAAGTGTGCCTAGAATTTACTCATTGTAATTCTCGAATTTGAGACACGTCCCCAGATAGCAGGGTGTGAATGGCGGGGTTCAACCAGGTCACGATGACCATATGGGCGGAGTTGCACCTACCGCTCTGCCCTCCTCATTAGCGCCGCCCCTCCTTCAGAGGAAAGTAGAGTGGAGAGGCCAGCATCGGGGTAAATACAACGATGAGTCTGACTCTGCCCATCGGCCTGACCGTATCTTCAAATCTGGTAATACCGACAGGACCAATTTGCTTTTCCACATACAAAATCTCATACTCCACTCATTTAAAAAACTCATACTTCACTTAGTTGAAGATACGGAGCGTGAGACTCTAGGAGTAGGTTACATTCGGAATTCACACGCATGAGGAGGGGAGACAGGGGCAAATAAGAGCCGATAGCTCGTCCTATAAAAATTTTCAAATCCGTCACTTACTTTCAGACAAACGAATTCTTCTTCGCGCATTTGTAGCTGACGCATCGGCCACACGATTTCGTCAAGAACCCTTAAAAACAGGGATTACTGGGATTCAGGACTAATCATGCAAAGGACCTCACCTTGGTGTGATATTGCTGGTCTTGAACGCAGCAAAGCCCATTCAGCTCACTGGATTGGTCTCGGCTCATATAGGTGTTGTTGAATAGACAGACGCGCGTCGTATCAGGACTTCTAGAAAGCGCGAATGCATAGTGGACCGGGAAATTAACTGATACCGAGCTTAAAAAGGGTCAAGATAATCACCTGAAGGCCGGCATCAAAATCAAATGTTGTGGAGCATAATTTTTCAGAAGAATGATCTTGTCCTCCATAATAAGATTCGGGAACGGTTGCAGAGCTTTTGCCCACTCGACCATCAGTAACAACGTCGTTCGTGAAATCTCGTTTAAATCCTAAAGAGGGAGGTTGTTCAAATTTGTAAAAGATCATTAGAGAAAAAAGGTTTTACAACGACCACATCGTTATTTTGCGGGTCACTGACGCGAGCATTTGCACAGTGGCAAACGTCAGTTCAGTTTGGCGTGTAGTTTGGGCGAAGACAATCAGCCATTGTGATCTGCTCATTGACGGCCCCACTCCTACTTCAAGGAGTGGCACGCCAACAAGGAACAGGGCACAGTGGATGACAGTCTCCGCCCATGCAATCAGCGTGGAATATTCCTGTAACAGTTCTTGTCACTTACCTCAGCGGTACAAGCTTTATTCGGCTGTGTGAACGCTGAGGTCGATGGTTCACCGCCGATGCTTGTCGCACTAGCTGGTTGAATCACAGTGTTACGATAACGTGCACACATTTCCTAAATGGCGATT